TCACCAAGGGAATGAATATTAACAGAAGAATGAAGAGGCTGGAAAACATTCCCACTAACAAGTGGTCAGGGAGATATGAAGGAAGTCAAGGAAAGTGAAAGAAACTAAAATAACAGACACTGAGTTTAAAAAATAAAACACTGCAGGGGGATGGTAGATGGAATGTCCTTGAAGAAACTGGACCGTTGCTTGAAAAAATGCTATAGATATATGGGGAATGGGGAGCATAAGAAATCAGATTTATAGAAGCAGTGGCCAAGCAGAGATTTCTACGGCTAGTGGTAGGAGAAATGAGATATTGATCAAGCAGCACAAAACTTCAGTTATGAGTAATTGCTGAATGTCTCAGGCACAGCAAGGGTGACGATTGAGATGTTAATTAATATGGCAATCATTTCACAATGTACATGTAATATTAAATGATCACATTGTGTACCATTGAAAATGCATTTTCTTACTAAATATTTTAAAAGATACGACTATAAATATTGTGTTAGGGAACATGGAACCTGTTGACAATCTTGATAAAGGCAACCTGTGATGGTCAATCTTGACAGGATCTAGAATAACCTAGGATAAAAACATGTATATATATGTATATATATGCTAACTGAGAGGAGGATAACACCCTAAATGTTGGTGGTACCATTCCACGAGCTGAATGAAAAGGAGAAAAGGGGGCAGAGCCATTGCTCTCGTGTTTCTCTCTCTGGTTCCTGCCGGTAGAGACAGATGTTGCATATTCCTGAAGCTGTGCCTTCCTCATCATGATGGACTGTAACCTGTAGCTATAAGGGAAAACAAAACTTTCCTTCCTTAATTTCTTTCAGATATTTTGTCACAGCAATGAAAAAAAAAAGTAGCTCATACATAGCCTAAGGCAGATGAGAGGGAAAAGCTGGATTAGAGTGGAATCAAGACACAGTATAGACAAAGAATGTGGGCACATGAAAGGCCATAATTCAAAATCATTGGAGACAGAAACAGTTAAATGACTAACTGGCACTTATTGCTTTATTCTAGCCTTTCTAACCAGTCGAATTCCCTCAGATGGATTCTTTCTCCCTCAGCAGCTATCAACTGCCAATAGCACCTCATTAAGGGGCGGGCCCCGGAGAGCATCTCCTTCACCAATGTCAGGATTCTTGTTTGACTTGATCTGATTAGGTTCTTGAACAGGTAGTCACAGTTACTGAGTTCCTGAGATGATAGTCAGGTCATGCCATGTCCAAAAGACAGAGTCTCACGTCACTCCTCCACTTCCTGCAGTTCTTACACTCTCTTTCTTCCTCTTCTCTGGAGATGAGCCTCAGCTCGGAGGGGGGGTGTTAAAAATTACCCATTCAAGGATGATCACTCAGTCTCTTATTTTCTTTTTTTAATTTTTAATTTTAATTTTAAATAGCTTGTTTTACATGTCAATCCCAGTTCCCTCTCCCTCCCCTCCTCCCACATTCCCCATCCCCACCCAAGCCTCCCACCCTATTGCCAATTCCTTCCACATAGGGGATATCCAGAGTCTGTCATTTCACTCAGGGTAGGGTCCAGGCACTCCCCTAAGAGTCCAGGCTGAGAGAGCATCCCTCTTTGTGCTATGGGCACATGATGACTGTTTGTATTCCAGGGATAGACACTGATCCACTGCTCAGGGCCCCATAGGTTCCTTGGGTTCAGTTCAGTGCTTAATTGTGTGTGTTTGCCTCTGCTTCCATCAGTCACTGGATGAAGGCTCCTGGATGGTTATAGACATCAAGTTCATTATCAGGAATGGCCATTCGAGGTGGTCTCTCCACTATTGCTTAGCTTGCCAAATGGTGTCATCCCTTTAGATCACTAGAGGTCACTCTGATGCCTGATCTGTCTTCTAACCTATGATTCCCTCTTCCCCCTATTCTACCCCCCCCCCACTCAAACTTCCTGTTCCCCCATGACCTACTCTCTCTTCCTCTTATTTTCAACATGTTCACCTATTATGTGTCTTTGCACTGTTACCTAGTGGGGAAAACGAAAAGGAAAAAGAAACTTCTCTGGCCAAGGTTGACAGCAGCCCAGATTTGTGGGTATAAAGATAAATATTTAGGAAGTAATTTGATAGCATGACTACTTATCAAGATAACCTTAGGGCTTATGACCTTCTTAGTCATGAACTTTTGACTAGGATTATAGCAGCAGGCTTGAAACTCCCCCCCTATGGATCAGACTTCAAGTCCAATCAGTCAGTTACCTCACAACAGATGTGCCCTGACTTCACCAGTGGGCACATCTTGCCAGGCAGAAAGGTATGTAATGTGAGAGTGTCCAGTTCTGGGTAAGATCACCGATAGCCTTCCTCCTTCAGCAGCCTTCATAGGATCTTTTGGTACTATGAAAACAAGGCAGAAGGTAACATTTCCTCGTCAATTTGAGACTGAGTCCCTCTCCTTGCACCTCCAGCAACAGTGTCTTACCGTATAGTAACGGTGGATTAGCAAGGTGGATGACGATAGACTGTATTGTTATGAAGACCTCTGGAGGTATTCCATGCCTTGTGCTGCAGTTTTCACTTAGCATCTCATATATTCTGTGACTGATGTTGTCAGTCTATGTTTGGTAGTTATGTTCAAACTTTTCAGAATAAAGACTTCTTGCTTTTTGTTAAGAAAAAAAATTATGGTGAAAAGGTAAGTTATAGCCTGAGGAAAATATATTCAACTTATTTATTAATAAAAGGCATTTAAATTCATTAATAAGCCATAAAAATGGTTTAAAAATTTGTGTATAATTCACCAAAGATGGAGACAAATAAGAAAAAGGAAAGATTTTGTGTCATCTATCATGAAGAAAATGAAAATGAAAGCCAACATCCATGTTAGATCATAATTTCGAAAACTTGAAAATCTGGGGTGTATGAAATATTATCAAGATCCATAATAATCAGAATAATGCTAACAAGATATAAAGTACCCAGCTACACTGGAAACAATTGGGCAGTTTCCCCCTAAGTAGAACACAACAGGCTTCTTGTCTTTCAGCTGCCACTACAGAGAGGAGCCCTGTGCCCTCACACACTGCCCAGGTCCATAAGAACTTTGTAACAGCCAAACATTGGAAAGGAGCCAAATGTCCATCAACCAGGGTATAAATATGCACATATGGGAGTAATGATTTGGAAACGCACCTTTGATACATGCAATAGCATGCTTGAATATTAGAACACTTGTGGGAAGTAGCAGAAGCCTGGAATGGAGAAATGCACATCGCTTAGCCTGGAGGGGAGGCTGTGTGAATGCAAGCTGGGCCAGGAGGGATGTTCTCTGTGTCACAGAGTAGCACTTGAGATCTGAGTGAGAAATAGTCTCCCCAGCTATGGCCAGTCTATTCATGCTCATGGGTCAACAGCCTCATGGTATTCTTCCACAACACCAGATCCTGTGACCAGCTCTACCAAGGTCCTCTCCCATCCTCTTCATACTGGGCATGGTGGCAAGCCCTTGAACCCACTGTTTCCTTCCCTGCAAGAAATTACCCTGCATACTAAACTGTGAATGGAAGCAGTACTTACATTAGTGTGGTAAACAAGCTGGACTAAATGGACTTGTGGGTTTTTAATTTTGTTGAACCATGCAATAGTGGAAACTTGGAACACCAAAACTTTTAATTAGTGCAGAAAAAAACTATTCTTAAATTTATAGGATTTTATTTTGCTCCTATTAACTCCATCATGTTTTCTCCCTTCCATCCTCCCTTTCTGGTCCCCTTTAATTCAAATATTCACCTACAACTTTCTGTGCATAAGAACTGTCTGTCCATAAGAACTTGTGTTTATTGGAGTCTGGCTTATTTCACATGATAATATATATATATATATATATATATATATATATACATTTTCACTCGTATTTCATCCTTTTGCTTTTTTAACATAATTAAGCTTGCTTGTGTATACTTATATTTTCTCCATAGGCAGTCATATTCACCCAACTCATTCTCAGAACCGTCTGATCCAAAAACTGTCAGCCACTTGGAAAAATTACTGAAACATACTGTACTTTGTGTTTTGAATGTTTACACAGTTTATATAAAATAAATGGGGAGCTATTTTGTCCCTTGTGGGTGCATTATCATGAATACATGTGCTTAAATTTTGAAAGCCCAAGGATTTTCACTTGTGCATATCATAGATATAAAAGTACATATTGTAGTTTGATTTTCTTCACACAAAATACTTGTGGGGGTTGAGGAAACATAGTTTGAAGGGATGATTTTCTCAACATTAATTTATGAAAAGCCTTTAAAAATTCAAATTTAAAGGGACAGAACAAATCCTGCTGGAAAATGAGACACATGAGGCAGCAAATGCAAAGGGAAGAATTTAGGAAAGTTGTGTGTATCCCGAATCATGTTGACAAGTATGCGATGGGTGATTTTTCTATCCTACTTGCTTACCTAGCTGAATGGAAATGCTGAATGGAAATGTGAGAAGAAATTGCTTTTAATGCAGTGGCTTTTGGAGCAAAGTGTAAGCAGAACCAGAGTATGTCAGAGTCTTGGTTTCATACTTTAAATGAATCACCCCTTTATGCTGTGAAGCCCTTTGAAGTATGAACAGAGCCTGAAGATGAACAGCAGGAAGGCTCTGCCCCAGAGCCAGCATGACACCCGAGGCCTCACCTGCTATCACCAGCCTGCACTTTGCTGAGTCCTCTGTCTCTGATACTGCCAAAGTGTGAATGTGAATGGGCACTACAGTCATCTCAAGGGCATTATTTGGGTTTGTTTGGGTCTAAAATGTTCTACCTAAGTGCTCCAGAGAACTGGGGTTTGGAAGTGACCCACCACCCCTTTACCTAGGACTGAAGGGGTCTCCCAGATGCAGCACTTTAAAAGCAAGCTAGAAACCAGAATTACAGCTCAGTGATAGAATTTGCTTAGCTTTCATAAGGCCTTAGCTTTCATAAGGCCCAGGGTTAGGCTGGACTGGAGAGATAGCTTCAGACGCAAATGAAAGAAAGGAGACAATGTTCTTTTTTTAATGCTCTTTTATTTCTGTGCTATCTAAATGTCAGTATCACTAGGCAAAATGTTTCTAGCCCTTTCTACTTTCCACTTCCAGTTGCCTATGTTTGGGTGGAAATAGTAGTCTAGGATAGGATAGTCTTGTTGGTTAGTGTGGAAGCAGCATCCTTAAAACAGTTTTAGCCCGACCTGTAGTAATTCCTCACCCTTTGAAGAAGGGCATGGTGTCAAGGACAGTCTACTTGCTTGGCTTCTTCTGGTTCCAGGATCCACTTTGAGCACTTTGAGGGGACTGTTGTCCTTGAGTACCCTTTTCCTGAGTTGTGGAATCCGAATCTGACTCAGTCTTATTCTCTGCAGAGCAGCAGTTGGGTTGACCACAGCAGCAAGGGGGAGATTGCAGGCAGCATGTGCACTTTTTAGGGCAGCATGAACATTTTTGTGGACAGCATGGGGGTTTTAGTGGGCAGCATGGGGGTTTCAGCGGGCAGCATGGGGATTTCGGTGGGCAGCATGGGGACTTGGGGCAGCAAGGAGGTTTCTGTGGACAACATGGTTTGGGTGGGCAGCATGGTTTCGGTGGGCAGCATGGAGGACTTGGTGGGCAGCACGGGTTGTTTTTTGATGGGTCACTCATCTTCTTTGTTGAAGTTCCTAGAAAAAAGAAGATTCAAATGACAAGACTGTCTGGAGGCCTGCTTTCATTATTACCTTTATCTCCAATGCACCTGAATCCTCAGGGGCAAAACAAAGACCTTGGTAAGTAGGGCTGGACCTCCCTCTCAGAAGCCACAGCTACTCCCCATGTGTCTGTTCCTTACTAGGTAGCCATTTTCCGGGTAAAGCATGTAAACTTACAGGTCTGTAATAAATTTGCTCAGAGTCTCTTAGTGAATAGCAGAGAGACTCTTAGGCTGACCCTGAGTCGCCTATGGTCAGCATCATAGGCTTTATCTACCCAGTGATGAGTACCAGCACAAAAGGAGAGCATTTTCATATACCACCCTAAATATGAAGACAAAATTCAGACATCTATCTTAGCAGTTTGTAAATGGATTCAAAATGGGTTCCATCTCACTCTAGATCCTGTGTATATTCTGGTCTAAATGTGGTTTCCAGGAACCTGAGTACATTAGAATTATCAGAACCACCCACTATCACTCCCTTTCTGAATGTACTAGACCATTCTATGTACCTTGAAACTCAGTTCAATGGCTAGTGGCAGCAAGAAAACATAGATTAAGGCACTGCCCCAGGCTTTGCAGGGCTACAGTGTGGGCCACAGGCTGAGGCAGCTCCATTCACATATCAGGGGTATTATTTCTTCTCTAAGGTGGCAGCATCAGGGGTGAGGAGGTAACAACCTTGGAGAGGCCCTCAAACTAAACTTTTGCAATATTCTTTGGTGAATAGTAAAATTCCGAACAACTCTTCTCATTAGAAACTTCAGTTGGGACCTGGGTGACACCTCTTCTAATGGTGCCTGATCTGCTGAGGCCTCTGTCTTCTGCAGTGGACTCTTCTACTTGCATCCCATCCATGCCTTTCCCAAGCACTCAAACTATCTTCTTGTTCTGCTGTACTGGAGACACAGGGTCTCCTGGGGACAGAAGCTACACAATCTTCATGCCAGAGATTATCTTTTCCCTAGTTAGAAAGTCCCAGAAGTGGACAGAGATCTTGAATTAGATGGTTACTAAAGACACCTGGTAGATGACCTACATTGCCATGAGAACAACTCTTTATGACTTCATAGCAGACACAGGGCCTTGGCTGTCCTGGGGGTGGGGGTTGGGCTCTTAAACTCATTCCTTTTCCATCTGCGGATTGGACCTAAATCCAGTTTACACTTGACAAACTGGGTCCCAATGAGTCTGGGTGTGGATGCTGCCTCCACCCTGTGAAGACAGTGACATTTTTGACTGACAAGCTGTTTCCCAGCCTCACCTGGTCTCACTCTTCAGCTTTCACTATGGGAAGAAGGTCCCTGCTATAAGCCTAGGAGCTACTATACTACTGTGTGAAGCCTGGAAACGATAGAGATGCTCTGAATCTTCTGGACCACAGTAGCAGCAGAGAGGAAAATGTGGAAGGGAGTTTTAACTCATCACCCCTACTACTGGATTCTAGACCTTCACACCCTCAATGCTAAAGCTGAAGTGTCAGGGGCTATCTCCATTTGGAAGGGGGTTGGCTTTTAGGGGCTAGGTCTTCCATTCTGGGACTATGTCTGCCAGTTATTTTAGGTTTCTGTCCTTTGGTAATAAAACCTGTGGCAAGAGGAAGATCCTGGTGCAGCATTCCTAAGGGGTAGGGGTAAGATAAGTCATTCAGTCCCTCCCTTCTAGAGATGCCATCTGCAATGGCAGACCTGCCTAGCAATGCCCAGACTTGCCAGGGACTGAGGTCAGCAGTGAGGAAACAGAAAATGACATAGCATAGCAATTAGACACTAGAGCAGCCAGGAAGTGGTGAGGAGTGCCTGTGTCTCTTATCACCTTGGCTTAAAGCTTTTTAGCAGCAAGCGTGCCTGCGTGTGTGTGTGTGTGTGTGTGTGTGTGTGTGTGTCTGTGTGTGTGTGTCTGTGTGTAATCCTGTACAAAGCACATGCTCTTGAACCCATGGGGCCTTAGGCAGTGAGTTTTGAAGTGGGCATCTGTGGAAAGTCCTGCACCTGTTTCTTCACCTTTTTGTCTGCCACTACTACTTTAAGGTCATCATCTTGAGACCAAGATCAGAGAAGAGGACTCAGCATCACTTTGTTTTCTATTGCTTTTCTTTCTAAGGGCAGCCTCCTCTTCTATTTTCTGTGCCTTCTTGTCTCAATCTCTCTCCTTTGTGTTTTACTCTATTCTCTTTCCTCTAACTTGAGGCAGTGTACTGAAGACAACTCAGAGCCTCTGTGTAACTCAAAAGTGAGCTTCTTAGGATCCTTCCAATCATCTGGGTATAGATAGACTGCTTCCACAGAAGCAACTATCATCCCCATGCAGGGCTCCTGAATTCTAGTCTTCACACACACTTCACCCCTACCATTATTCCTGTGTTGGGCATGGAGAGCAAGTTCTCAGTGTTAGAGGTGGCTCTCAGTGTTAGAGGTGGCTCTCCGTGTCAGAGGTGGCAAATAGGCTAGGAGTCAGTCCAGTCCATTATGACATAGGGAAGACAATGACAAGTCCCTTAGCAGTCTTACCACACTAAATACAGATTCTGTCCCAAGCCAGCTCTGTTGCCAACATCTTGCCAGTTGGTACAAGGAGTCTGTTATCCTCTAACTAGGTCTCTGGCTCCCTCATTCCCTCCTGATGGGTGGTCCTCCTTTTATCCAGGCATAGTTAACATTCTTGAAGCCTCCTATCTTTAAAACCTTGGCTATTACCCACTGCCTTCCACTCAAAACAAGTTTCTCCCTTACTCCAAGTATCTTCTTCATAAGACAACTGCTCACAGGTTGTCTGGAAGTCTTCCCAGTGTCTTAGAACCAAGGCGCTTATCCAGAGCCACTGTCTCAAGTCTCTGCTCTTCTGTTTCAGTGAGGATTGAACTGAATGCAAGTTTGTTAAGGGCCTGGTAGGGCCGCCTTTTGGCCTCTGCCTACCAGCCTCTCTTACTTCCAGCCACTCTTCTCTCAAGTTTAATAGGCTGGCTCAGAGAAGATGGCTGCTGGATTCTGCTCACCTCTTGTTAGGATCTTTGTATGGCTTCCCAGTCTTAAGAATCTTTTTCTTGTCTCTATCCTTATATATCACTAAATACTATTCACACTCGAAGTTCTTTGAAGTACCACTCACTTAAATGAATTTCCTTGGTCCATCAGCTCAGCCCCCATATTTTCTTACAGATTCCTGCATCAAATGTTAACATGCTAGCATTTAATAACTACTCCCAGTTGACTGTTCTGCTTGTTGGTTTCATTAGAGTGGATACCCTTCATCTTGCTCGCTACTGTTCTAACATCTGAAATTCTGCATGGCATTATGTTGGCTTCATTAATTAAGTGATGAGTGAAGACCCAAGGCAGAGAGAGAGAGAGAAGACCCACAAGACAAGGTTTGTGTGTGTTACCTGATCTGGTCACACACTTCTTCCTCGGGCTCTTCTTAGTTCACTATTCCCATACTTGACTTCTGCTGTTAACTGTTGTTTCTTGAATGGGTTCAGCAGATGGACAAATGCTGGATCTTCCTCAGCAGCCTAGTGAGTCCATGACTGTCAGAAGCCAAAGTCTTCTGAACCAAGCTCCCCACTTGCCTCTCTTCAAATCTCTAAGCTCCTCTATGACATCATAATCCTCTCCCCAAGACTCTATGACTAGCAGGCCGACTCCCCTTTGCCCACTCCTGGTTAGAGTATCTGCCTCTGCTTGGCTGCTTTTGCCAAGGACGAGAAGTTCTTTAGCTGATTCAAAGCATACCATCACCCCCAAACAAATGTTTAAAACACAGATTATGTTGTCTAGTCAGACACACTGTATCTTAAAAAGCATGGTAGGATACAGCTTACAAGGCTGGAAACAGTTCTTGGGAAGAGCAACGTATACTGAGACCTTGGTAAATAGTCATAGGAAACGGGGTATGGAAGTGTGTGAGAAAAGGCATTTTATATCTGGAAAATGTACAAGCATTTGGGATAGGAAACAAAAGAGGGCCATTTGGCAGCAAAGCTCAGTGTGGCAGGGTCCAAGTGAGGAGGAAGATGGAGAGGTAGAGGAGAAGATCTCAATGTGTAAGAAAGGGTTCAGGTTGCATCCTGAGGACAACAGGAGCTATTGGAAGGATTTATTTTGTGGACATTGGGCCTCTTCTCATTTTGATATTACCAGAGTTCAACTCAGTCCTGTGAGTAGCAGATTTTGAAACAAGTTCAGTTTCATTACCTAACATAAGAGACAATCTGGTTACATTCTCTCTGTACCTTTTGGTACCCCAGTCTCTTTGAAGATAGTAACAGGCATCTAGAAGTAGCCTTGCCCTTCACATATGCAAGACACCAAACCACAGCACAGACAGCGATTTAGACCACGTGGTTAGGTCCTCATGATGTTTCAATCTGCATCAAATCACTACTGTTGGTTCTCAGCATTGGCATTGTTCTTTTGGTGGGTTTATTCAGAGCATCTTCCTTGTTGGCTCAGATATCTCTCCAGAAAACAAAACTTATATCTGATTGCTACCTTGTTAGTCTCATACAGATATTTAATACCTCTTTTAAATTTGCATGAATCTAACCCATGTTTTTCCAATCAGCTTCACAGAATCAACACTATTAAATTCACTGTTCTCTACTAATTTGATAGGTAGAAATTGTTAAGTAGTTTAATTTGACTTCCCATTAGAAAATAAACTCTGCTCTGTTTTTTAAAAAATTTTTAAAAAGATTTATTTATTACACATACCAGTGTTCTGCCTACATGCCAGAAGAGGGCACCAGATTGAATTGTAGATGATTGTGAGCCACCATGTGGTTGCTGGGAATTGAACTCAGGACCCCCGGAAGAGCAATCAGTGCTCTTAACCTCTGAGCCATCTCTCCAACCCCTCTGCTGTTTTTATTTTGATTTTTAATTTTCATTTTAAAAGATTTATTATTTATTGAAAATAGACATTTTCATTTAGTGTGTTCTGATCACAGTTTCCCCTCTTTCGGCTCCTTCCCACATCCCCACCCACCCAAATCCACACCCTATCTTTCTCTTATTAGAAAAATAAGTCATCTAAAAATAAAATAAAAACCAGAATAGGTCAAAGTAGATAAATAGAAGAAAAAGAGCCAAAGAAAAGCCACAAAAAACATACAGATGCAGACACACACACACACACACTCCATAATAACACAAAATTTGAAAACATAATATAAGCAAAAGACCTATAATTTTTTAAAAACCCAGACAAAACACTGTGAAACAAAAATCCCCCCAAAATAACATTAAGTTCCTCATTTGTCAACTATCTACTGCTGGGTATGGGGTCTATCCGTAAGTGTGGTGTATATAGTCAGTGAGACTCTACTGGAGAAAACTTGTTTTTCATTTGTGAGCAGTTATCAATTTAGAAAGCTTCTGGCTTAGGAATGGGAGATTATGTCCACTTTCCTTATCAGTGCTAGGACCTCTTCCTGCTTAGAACTGTGCATGCTGCCTATACTGGCTGGTTTTGTGTGTCATTATGACATAAGCTACAGTCATCAGAGAGGAAGAAGCCTCAGTTGAGGAAATGCCTCCTGTTGGGCCTAAAAAGGCTTGGATGCAAAGCCCAGTGTAACCTCCTGAGCCTGGCTAGAGTTTGGAGACCTGTCTCTGGCCTGTAACTTCTACGTGGGGGTGACTCAGCAAGACCTGATATAAGACTGCCTCCTGCCTAGCTACCTGCCAGCTTGGTGGAATATTATTGGGCCTTACTCCTCATCCTAAGATTCCCATCCTAAGATTTCCATCCCCTACCTCAGCCCTATTGGAATAAATCAAGATCCTACTTCTACAAGTCTCCCAACTCAGTTTATATTTTCTCCCAGGTAACTAATGGGGAGAGGGCCTGAGTTGTCAACACCCACTATTCCTCTCTACCTGCTGGAGGATCCGGCAGCCTCCATGAGATCCAGATGTAAGGCATTTTGTCAATTAGTGACCAATGGGGCATTCTCCAGTAAGCCAAGACTGCATGGAGATACATAGATTAGTAGAAATGGATTGATAATTAAAAGGGAGTCAGTCAATAAGAAACCTGGGCCATTTACCAAACAGTTTATAATTAGTATAATAAATCTCTGTATATTATACAGAGATGGAAGTACAGAAACTTCCATCTACAGTAGCTGTACAAGTTTCCACTCCCACCAGCAATAGATGAGTGCCTCCTTACCCCACATTCTCATTACCATGACCTGCCATTTATTTTATTGATCATGTCTATTTTTTATGTAAGATGAAATCTCAAAGTAGTTTTGATTACATTTCCCTAATGACTAGGGATGTTGAACTTTTCTTTAGATGGTTCTCAGCCATGTAGGTTTCATTTTTTCAAAACATTTTGTTTAGATCTGTATTCCAGTTTAATTGGGTTATTTGTTTCTGATGTACGTTTTTTTAGTTTTTTCTTGATGTACCTCAATATTTTTTAAATTTGACATTTTCTTTGATTGAGGTATTCATTTCTACTATTATGTCTTCAATGCCTGAGATTCTTCTGTCTCCCATTTCTTGTCCTCTGTTGGTGAGGCTTACTGCTGAGGTGGTTTTCTTGTTTGTTTGTTTTACTTCCTAAATTCTTCATTTCTAGTTTTTCCTCTGTTTGGGTTTCCCTTAGTGATTCTGTTTTTACTTTCATGTCTTACACTGTTTACATCAGTTAATTCCACTGCTTATGTTTTCACAGACTTCATTAATGAATTTATTCATGTCCTCTTTGAGACCCTTCAGCAGGCTCACAACTATTTTGAAGTCCTAGTCTTGTTCTCCAGCTGTATCGCATTTTTCAGGATCTACTGTGTTCTCTAGCTGCATTGCATTTCTCAGGACCTACTGTAGTAGGGTTGCTGGGTTCTGGTGTAGACATACTGTCATGGATGTTAATGATTATGTTTTGGTACTTGTCCCTAGGCATCTGGGATTGGGAAGATTGTGATTGTAGGTGTTGATATGTGGGTGTGTTTTTGTTGGGTGGGTATTGCATTCTTTGGTTTCTGTTGCCCTCTCTTCATCATTGGAACATGTGGTGGCTGTGTGTTGTCTGTTAGGGAGTGTTTTTGAACCCCTGCTATGTGTAGCCATAGTGTGTTCCATGTGGAATGTGTTTCTTAGGTATTGTTGGCCTACATGAAAGAATAGTGAATGACTAGGTGAAAGGTTGGAGGGGTCCACAGGGTTGAGGAAAGCTGTGTGTGCTGTGAGGTCCCCAGGTAGTAGAATCAGATAGAAGAGATAGGCCCCTGCAAGTGTTCTGCTACTGATCTGGGAATGAGACTGGGGAATCTGCACTGGAGAAGGAAGAGGGTGGCCACTCAAGGTGGCCAGAGTGTTCCCATGTACAGAGTTCCTCTGTGTATTAACAGCTGACACAAAGGGTTGGGGTGAGGAAGGAATGCTGGGTCCACCATAGGGTTCTGTCTGTTATGTTCTTTATCTCTAGAGAAGCCACAATATTTCCCTTGTGGCAAATATTTTGTTATACATTTAACCTAATTTTAAATATTACTATGAATTATGGTGTTCATATTATGTTCATAGATAAAATATCTTATGGTATGTGTTATAAATTCTTATTCTCTTAGTTTTCAGTTAGATAGAACATGTTAATTTCCATACAAACATATTTAGAGGCATATCTTTTAATTTTTGTGTTATAATGATAAAATGGACTCCTATTTTAAAACTAGGAAATTCTAAGAATTTCTTAAGGAATATTTTTAATATTTTAACCTTCTAAAAGCTTACCTTAATTCATGAGAGTTCTCTCTCTCTTTTTAGCAGGATGTTTCTAAACTCACTATTGTTACCCACTGTGACTACAATATTGATGGACTAACAAAGCTTTTCTTCACAGATTTGAGGGTGTGCTGTGTGTGTGTGTGTGTGTGTGTGTGTGTGTGTATTGGTGGTCCACATCCTAACCTTCCTAATGTGTTACACTGACCTTTCTGTATGTTCATGGTCCAGTAGCCCATTGTTTAACTATAACAACTTTTTAATATGTTGACATGTCTGGTACAGCTAACTCCTACTCATGGTTCTTATATTTAAGGATTTTCCTCAACATTTTAAAAGTTCACTCATGTGTTTATTACAGATTCATTGAATTCTAATAAATGAACATTGAGAATACAGCTCAATTAACTGAACATATCTACATGGTTGCCATTCCATCCCCTCGAAGACTGAATTTTACTTCTGATGGCTTCTGAGGAACTCAGGATAAATAAGCATGGGTGAACTGTTTTAAGTGGCTGAAAGCACAAGGCCTTCTTAAGGAATCTTGGTGAAGAGAGAATGTGGCTCCTTGTCAGACCCAGAGGCTCTTTCCCATTATTCCACCTGGTTTTCATTGTTTTCAGAGATGAATTTTATCCATCTGGGAAGTCCAGCAGCATCACTGGTCTCACGCCTGTCATGAACCCTTCCCCATAGGCCTTTAATCTGGGATATGTCTGGTTTCCTGGGGAAGACACTTCAGATGAGGATTTAAACTCAGAGATTATATCTCTGCCAAAGTGCCTGGATATTCTACATGTTGCTCTTTTACAAATATTGTAAAAAGAT